AGCTGCGGCTCGTCGAAAGTACCAGGCAGCTATAACAACATTGACTAGGGTACCTAAAGACTTCGCTGGATAGATCACTTCCTGGGAAATGGCGGCAAACCATGTGCTCGTGAGGAAAACCGGAGGCGTGGAAGACCCCAATATTTGGTTCGACGATTTAACCAAGGCCATCCAACCAATTCTAGGAAGTTAGGCAGCTATATATGCTGGAATCTACAAAAACAAACTTGAGGAAAAATCATTGACGATCGGAGAGGTTGCAAAAGACCTCAGGAAGGAAGCAGAACGTCGAGATCTTCTTAGCTCGCGAGAGAAAGGTTCCCAAATAACCAAAGGCGTATTTAGCCTAACCTTTGCCGCAGACCGCGACAATACATCTTGGACGGAGGCTGAAACGCATAACGAAGAAGGGAGCCAACCTAGTCAAGACCAAGTCAACAGCCGAAAGCGAAAACGCACAGTCACTACACGGAGCACTAATATAGTATGTAAAGCCTGTGATGGCAATCACGCTCTAGAAAACTGCTACTATGTGTTTTCCAACGATGCACCAGACTACTTCAAGGGCAGGAAATTAATCCGTGATGCGGTTGAACATCGACTTAAGAACGACGCATCTCTCAAGGATGAAATCAACCGCATCAAGAAAGTCAAACACGTTGAAGCTACCGATTGACTAGGACGAAGTATTAGAGAGTACACAGCCAGCTTCGTTGTCTCTGCGTTTAATTCGATGTCCTGCACTACATACTACCTATTGAAGAATTCGGCTCTTCTTGACTCAGGGTTAACAATACATATCTTTAATAACTTCAACCGGTTTAACAACTTCCGTCGATCGGAGGCTGGGGATTTCATCCTTGCTAGAGAAAGCAGAATTCCTATCCAAGGATACGGGAATGTAAACATACAAACCCAGGGACCGAGAGGACTAAGAATAATCTAACTGAACGATGTCGCACTATGTAGAAATTTCCCTTGCAATCTGGTATCCCTTAGACAATTAAGAAAACGCGGATATTGGTGGGACAATCGTCTTCGTTCTAACTATATAAGGTCATTCGATAACTCAATCGTATGCAAGGTTATGGACCGATATGACCAATTCGTCATCGAAGATATACCTCCTAACACGCCGAATACTGCATTCGTTACTCGAAGACACAAATTGAACTCCTGGACAAAGAAAGGTGCTATGAAAGCAGACGCAAGGAGGTGGCATCTTCGACTTGGACACCCAGGACCTCAGGCTCTGGAACATCTAGTTAATACCTCACAAGGGGTCCGGATAAAAGGACTAACCACGGTGGAATGTAATGGATGCGCACTTTCTAAGATAAAGCGTCAAATAAGCCGTTAACTACGGAACGTAGGCTACGGCCCGGGTGAGCGATTAGCAATCGACTTTCATAACCTTCTAAAAGACCCTATAGGCAGAAGTAGCGTAATGCTAATCACGGACCGCTGGTCGGGAATGATTTGGGACTACTACCTTGCGGAAAGAAGAATAGGAACGATCAGTACCGTATTGAAAAACATAACCGGCATACTCGAACGACAATACCAAATCAAACCAAAGATTATCGAATGCGATAATGAAATCGTGACGGGAGGAGTTATATCTATATTACTTCACTCCCAACATATCAGAGTCGAAGCATCAGCTCCGAACACCCTAGCACAGAACGGAGGAGCTGAGGTGTCAGGGAGAATTATCAAGGCGAAAGCGCGGGCTATGAGGATAGGAGCTCGGCTGCCAGAGCATCTGTGGGTCGAGATTTACCGTGTAGTTGTATATCTGTACAACCGGACGCCAAAGCATATGTATAGCTGGCGAACACCGTACGATAGATTTTACACCGCCCTAGCGCATAGAGACGGGGTTGCGGTCTAAGACCGAAAGCCATACCAAGCACACCTACGTGTCTATGGATGCAAGGCATATGCTATGACGACGGATGCTCAATTACAACGGAAGAAAAGGCAAAAGTTGAACCCAAGAGCATGGATCGGTTTTCTTGTGGGGTACCAGTCAACAAACATTTATCGAATATAGAACCCTCAGACTGGAAGAGTCGTCGGAGCAAGAGACGTTATTTTTAACGAAGACGAATTATTTAACGGAAACTTGAACCAATTAAGAGATGACCTCCTTCACGTCGGACAGCAAGAGCTAATCAATTTACTTGACCAGGTTGAGGAACCAGAAACAGACCGAAATATGATAGCAGAAGAAGACCACACCGGTGCCTTTATACCCCAAACAAATTGGGAGGGCCTTTATGGAGAAGACGAGGACGTCGGAACCCAGCTCAGTTGGGAAGATGCCGTTCTCCATGAAGTAGAAAGAGATACAGGAGCTGAACAGTTGGAGGCTGAGTCTGATCAACCAGCTGGTACCGACGAAGGCTCTGGACAAACCGGGGACGCGGAAGTCGACCTGGGGAAACCAGAAGGCGGCACGGGAGACCAGGCAGAAGCCGGCACCGATGACCAAGCCAAGAATTCTGATGCCCAGAGTCGTCCGTACCTATCCCCTGTGTCTCTTCCACCGACAGCACTTCTAGCTATGACGATTCGGGATGATTCGGAATTCCTACAAGCAAATGCTCAGAAAGGTAAAAGTTTATATGATGTCTTTGAAGCATGGAAGGCAGCGTTTGCGGCTGGACGACAGGCCACGCCGGTGGGCATCTTTGAAGGAAAGCAGATCGACAAAGCAAAGCTTCAACGACTGTTAAAGAATCCAAGTTGCCTACACAGGCGGCAGATGCCTCCGTTACCGCGAAGCCATGCTGATCTTAGAAACCACCCCATGGGTACGCTATTCGAGACGGCGGAACAACAACATCTACGCAGTCACGCCGAGATAAAATCTTGGATTGAAATAAGTCGAAAAGACACCCGTGCGAAGGACTGTCAGGTCCTAGACTGCATGTGGGTATACGTATATAAATTCGACAAGCATGGACGGTTTCAAAAGGGCAAAGCACGCCTCGTGGTCAGAGGAGACCAGCAAATCAAGTCAATACATGAAGAAACCTATGCCGCAACACTAGCAGGACGGTCTTTCCGGACACTGATGGCGGTTGCTGCACGTTTCGACCTCGAACTAATCCAGTATGATGCCGTTAACGCGTTTGTAAACGCAAAGCTAGACAAGGACATATTCATGCGCATGCCTCCAGGCTATCGGAAACCAGGAATCATCCTGATGCTCCAGAAAGCGTTGTATGGCCTAAGAGAGTCACCACTCCTGTGGCAAAAGGACCTTATGGCTACGCTGAAAGACCTCGGGTTTGAAACCGTTCCACATGAGCCCTGCTGCATGATCAAAGGAGCTATCATTATCTTCTTCTATGTAGATGATATAGTCCTGGCATATGAAAAGAAGAAAGAGAATGAAATCAAAGAAGTAACAGGAAAGTTATAAAGACGATATAAATTAACGGGGGGAAAACCACTACAGTGGTTCCTTGGAATCGAAATCATTCGAGACCGAGACAAGAAACTTATCTGGCTATCACAGTCAGACTATATTGACAAGATTGCTAACCTATCTAAAGATAGAGATCAGCGACATGACATTCCCATGAGACGCGAAGAGCTAAGACCGTATGAAAAACAAGCTAGCATAGCGTCCATAAGGCGATACCAACGCAAGATTGGATCAATTCTATATGCTGCCGTTATTACTAGACCTGACATAGCTTTCGCAGCATCAAAACTAGCCAGGTTCAACGCAAACCCAGGTCCAGAACACCACAAAGCAGCAGACCAGGTTCTGCTTTATCTGAAGAAAACCAAATCGCTTGCCTTGCAATTCGGCGGAGACGATGAGTTCTTCGTAGCAAGCGATGCCTCGTTTGCAGACAATACAGAGGACCGCAAGAGTTCCCAAGCCTATGTAATGCGATTGTTTAGAGGCACTATCGGTTGGAGAGCTAATAAGCAAGCAACCGTTACTACTTCAACAACAGAAGCTGAGCTACTTGCTCTTGCTCAGGCAGCCAAAGAAGCTATATTCGTATCGCGACTACTTAAGGAACTTGGACTTCAATTGGATGAATCACGGATACGAATACAATGCGATAACATCCAGACAATACAACTGATCAACAAGGACATCACCAAGTTGCAGACAAAACTCCGACACGTTGATATACACAACCACTGGTTGAGACAGGAAGCTCAATTGAATAGAATCAAAGTGGAATACAGACCTACTGCAGATATGGTTGCAGACGGACTGACTAAACCGATGAGCCATACGCCATTCAAGACGTTTATCAAACAAATCGGCCTAGTGGACATCTCCAACCACCTAGAGAAGAGAAAGCTGCCCACACTGGGAGAAATGGAACTTCTAGGTGAAATGGAAAAACTGGAAAACTAAGTAACCCAGCGGATCAGTCTCTGCCTAAGCGGCCTCAACTGGGGGGGTGTGTTAGATTGACGCCTGCGTCCGGATAAAATGCTAGGAAATCTAGCTTAGTTGCATTCTTGCAATATGCTGAAACCGGGAAGAACGGGTAGATACAAAACAGAACCCCGCTTCAACCGGAATGGGTAGAATCACTCAATCAACAACATGAATCACTCTTTGCTCAATAAACCCCAGGTGTATTGCATCAAACTAATATCGTTTATCTAACAGTTGAATGCATGCCCCGATATATGCAGTGGTCCGTGTGACACAATGCTTCAAGTTTCTGGATACTATCAGGAATATTTATGAGGAGGCAAAGTTTAAGACCCATTATTCTCAACTCTTATCACCCCGATATATGCAAGGAGTCAGTGTCAAAAGTTGAAACAACTTGCTGCTTATCTTCATGATGAGGAACATGTGTATGATAGATTGGAGACTGCGTATTTGCTACGGAGCAAGTCGGAGAGGCCAGAGTTTGTCAATGAGGACAAAATAACTACGTTGTTTGATAAGTGCTATCATAATGAAGGAGCCTCAAAACTGAGGAATTTCGGTCGGCTTGTGTAGTCTACTTCTTTAAAGGCACATTGTTCACATTCGCCGTCTGCTCCGTAGCTGCCCCATAAAGAACTCGCTCAGCGATTTCCTCCACCTGCAAGTATGTCTGACGTCCTCTGATAAACCAAAAGCTCAGACTAAAGAGAAGAATTATTCCAAACACAACTATAGCATAGTTCATATCCGCAACTGCTGGGGTGGGTGTTGACGGGAAGAAGAAGAAAACGGTAGTAATTGCGCAGTAAACAAGAGAAATCCAATTGACGACGGGCCCGAAGCGGCCAAGATGGAACTCCCCGGGTGGCAGTTTATCTCTTCCCACAACCAGAAGGGTCAAGATCGGCATCGCATAGGAGACTGTGAGAGCAATTGTGCTGACGCCGACAATAGCTTCGAGGACAGTGTTGGAGAACGTGTATAAGACGCCAACCAGTCCAATAATGGCTCCTTGCAGCCACAATGCTCTTACTGGTGCCTTCCATGTCTCATCAATGTGAGAAAAGTAAATACTCCAAGGAAGGCCGCCGTCACGAGCAAATCCCCAGGTCAAACGGGATGCTGTCGTAACTACAGTCACTCCCTGCCCAAGGCCGTTGAATATAAAAAGCGCCAGAAGAACTGCCGACCCTTCAAGTCCAACAGTGCCTTTGACGAGGTCCATGAAAGGGAGACCAGTGGAAGGGTTGAGCACTTGTTCGAGGTCTTGGATGGAGAAGAGGCAAATAACCATAAAAATGAAGCCAGTGGCCGCGCCGCAAAGGATGGAGAGCCAAATGACTCTTGGGATGTTTTTTCTCGGGGACGGAATCTCTTCGACGAGATGAATTGCCGCGTCGAATGCAGTTAACCCGTACGCCGCCTGGACCAGACCCATGAACCAGGCGACGCCATCGTTCCATCCTGTTTGGTTGATCCAGGCGCCGAAAACGAACGAGCCAGGCTGGAAGTGAAGATTGCCTTTGGTACCAACAGATAGGAGTAAAGCCAATCCGATGACAAAGAACAGGCCGACAAACGTAACCCCCACAAAGTTGTTGAACATGGGAAGAATTTGGTCCATACGGCAAGCGATGACGTTCAATACCGTCAGGACAAAGGTCACGCCCAAGTAGACCAGAAATTGCACCCAGCCCGTCGTAGCCGCCGACCAAGTCTCGTCGAACAACAAATTCATGCCTAGTATGAATTCGGTCATGAAAGCCAGTGTTGACGCAGACAAGGTCCACCAGCCAAAGGTGTTGATCCAAGCGCACATATAAGAGACGAACCGTCCGGTGGGGGTTGGCCAGAGACGCGACACCCAGTAAGCCTGGCCTAAAGCCGTAGGCATGCTGCTGCAGAGTTCTCCAAGCGACACACCAATACATATGTTGCTGAAGGTAACCAGGCACAAACCCCACAGAATGGCAATGGGGCCGCCACTAATGAGCCCGCTGGCGAGACTCTGCGCGAAAACGGACCAAGTCCCTAGAACCACAAAGGCGAGAGAAAGCATGCTCCAGGTATCGAATTTACGGCTGAGGGCTTGCGAATGGCCCAGCTCTGCCAGGTCGCGAGCATCTTGGTCATTGGTGTTTGAGTGTTTGAGGGTAGAGCCAATTTCTGGATCCATTGCGAAGTGTCTGAAGCACGATATTATTGGGCCGGAGGTGGTGGGAGATGTAAATGGAATATTTGGTCGCTAGATTGATGTTGGGGCATTCTCAGTTGAGGGTTTGCCGGTGTATAGTTTACTGTTACTCCAAGCCACGGCAACACCGTTCTTATAATCGTTTCCTTACCCCAAATCCCCAATCTCAGATCTTATCCGTCTTGGATCTATGTGACACAGGAAATGTGACCAGTCATGGTATCTAATAGGCGGAAAGTGCGTGGACAGAGATACGCAATACTCGGGTAGATTCATATACGCAGTAGATGGGTGCACGACCCGTTATCGTAGTTGGAGACCGGAGTCCACGTCCCCACAAGCCGGTCCCGGTCCACCGGCTTATCACCAAGGTGGAACATCCATGCTTCCCTAGTCTCCCCCGCGTTAGAGATCTTGGGCCGATTTAGCCAAGCATTTGATCTCGCTGGCCGAGGGGCTCCGAAGCAGACTCTCGATGGTACGATCTTTTACGTAAATAGGATGGAATGGTTCAAATCTCATGTGTATATAAGGGGATATGAAGGTTGGCACTGACTTCAGAGCGAATGATTAACTACGTTGATCAAGAGTGTTCATCTCTTGTTGTTCACTAAAAAGTCTTGCGGTACACTATCAAAAACTACCTTGTCTTCCGGAATCTCTTCCGCTAGTAGTGCAACATGATTCAGGATAGTTCAACGCTTCCTGGCTATACCATCTTCCAAGAGGAGGCTACTGACCCGATTCCGGATTTGGCGAAGCAACCTGCTAGACATCCTCTTGGTAAGCCAATGCTCATCACGAGCCTTCTGTCGATCCTGATCAACTTGGGCTGCGGAAATTCACTAACAATCGTTGGGTAGATCCACTATCAATTGACGAGATTCGAGTCGCTGGCAAGCTTATACGCAAGAATGCCAAATTCAGCAATCTAAAGTTTAACTGTCTCACTCTGCGGGAACCGAAGAAGAGTGAATATGCGGCTTTCCGTGCCGGCAAGGGTCAGCGGCCTCATCGCCGAGCATTTGCCATCGTTTTGGAGAAGGGGACTAGCCAAGTTGCCGAAGTAATTGCCAACTTGACAACGTTGGAAGTCGAATCTTGGAAACATGTTGCTGAGGTGGCTCCAACTCTGACACTGGAGGACCTCGATGTTACAGAGCGAATCGCACGAGAAGACCCTAGAATCATTGAGGTGTGCCGAGAGATTGGTATCACCGACATGTCCAAGGTTTACTTTGATGCCTGGGCTATCGGCTTTGACAGTCGGTGGGGATTCGAACGCCGCCTCCAGCAAGGCTTGCCGTACTACCGCAATTCAAAGATGGACAACCAGTATGCGCATCCACTAGACTTCTCAGTAGTTGTTGACACTGAGACGGAGGAAATCCTCGCAATCGACATCCGACGAGTCAATGGAGAGCGCACCAAAGTCCCTCTTGAAGAGCACAACTACCTCCCCGAGTTCATCCAAAAGTCATATGACAGCACGAGACTGAAGCCAATCGACATTGCCCAACCTCAGGGTGTCTCATTTCGTATGAATGGAAACGAGATTTCTTGGGCTGGCTTTAAGATGCATATTGGCTTCAATTATCGCGAGGGTATTGTTCTATCTGACGTGCGTGTGCATGACCAAGAACAACAGAGAGAGCGCACCTTGTTTAACCGCATCAGCGTTGTTGAGATGGTTGTCCCTTACGGCAACCCCGATCCTCCTCACCAGAGAAAGCACGCTTTTGATGTGGGTGAGTACGGCAGCGGCTTAATGACGAATTCTCTCAAGCTCGGCTGTGATTGCAAGGGCGCTATTCACTACCTGGATGCCGTCATGACAACCGCCAAGGGCCACCCGGCAGTGATCAAGAACGCAATTTGCATTCACGAGGAGGACAATGGTCTTTTGTACAAGCACACGGACTTCCGCGATAACAGTGTGATCTCTGCCCGGGACCGAAAACTCATCATCTCTCAAATCATCACGGCTGCCAACTACGAATACGCTTTTTACCACACTTTCACATTAGATGGCACCTACAAGCTTGAGATCAAGCTGACCGGCATGCTCAACACCTACTGCATGCACCCGACCGAATCGGCAGCGCCGTATGGAACTGAGGTTGCCCCACGGCTAAACGCTCATAACCATCAACACATCTTCTCGTTGAGAGTCGACCCCGAGATTGACGGACCCAACAATTCCGTTTTGCAAAGCGACGCATTGCCGTCTGAAGAACCAGTTGGATCGCCCGAGAATCCATACGGCAATGGGTTCTACTGCAAGAAGACACCTTTGCGGACGTCTCAAGAAGGAGCAGCTGTCTATTGCCACGAGACAAGCCGCGCGTGGGACATTATAAACCCAAGCAGCATCAATGCCTCAGCCAAGAAACCAGTTGGCTACAAAATCATCAATCCCAACTGCCCGCCGCTTCTCGCCAAACCCGGCAGTATGGCCTACAAACGAGCTGCGTTTGCGCGCAAGAGCCTCTGGGTGGTGCCGTACAAGGATCATGAGCTCTTCCCTGCGGGAGACTACGTTTGTCAATCGACGGGAGAAGAGAATCATCCAGGGAACCAGACCATTGTTGACTGGGTCGCGCGCAACGAGTCCATTGAGAACACCGATATCGTGTGCTACATTCAATTCGGCCTTACTCATTTCCCACGGACGGAGGACTTCCCGATTATGCCAGCGGAGCCAGTAAGCGTGATGCTGCGCGCATCAAACTTTTTCCAGAAGAACCCCGGTCTCTGGGTCCCACCGTCCTCGGTCTGCATTGACAGGACATCCAAGGACGCATTCTGTCCGACCGAGGGAAAACATGCCTGCGCGAGATTGTAAAAGGAGGGCGGGCGGGGTGGCAGTAGACGTCGGTGTGGATAATAAGGAGGGTCAATGACGATGGAGGTATCCGTAAGACGAAGAACTCCCGTAGACACGAGCAAGCAATTTCTGTGGCAAATGGCAAAAGAATATTCCAATCTCGTCTTTTTTGTTTTGGACCCCATTTAATTGGCCAGGAGTCAGACCCAACGATGATGGCCACCGGACGGTGATGAAGGTCCAGATGTCTTATCTCAATTGGGACAGCAAATGGTGGCGGTTCTAATTGACGGCTGTCCGAAGCGATGTGTTGGCAATTCATCGACACCCACTCAAGGAGAGGACAACAATGCATTCTTTCTCACTCTGTTTAACTCGGAGTCGGTGAGTCTCCCCGGGGAGTCCGGAAGAGCAAAAATCTCCCTCCAACGGTGCCTGACCGACAGTGCATGCATGCATATAGCTTCAAGGCAGCCAATCTCCCCCCTCCCGATACATGGCACGAACACCCTCTCTTTTCCCCCTCCCCCTCACGGCCAGTCACATGCCCAGCTTCTTTTATCGTTTATACACTACACTACTAGTAGCAGGTGTGTGTGTGTGAGTGTTTATTTTGCCGCCGGTGCAACGTGTTTGCGCCCAACGCGCCATCCAAACAAAACAGACCATTGAGAACCCCCCACGTCTGCTGTCATCCCAGCCAGGTCCCTGAATCCCCGAACAGCACCTCAGGCCATCAGAAGTATCTCTGTGGGTTATGGCCTGCTTGGAGGTACTTTGGGCGCATTTGGGCTTTACCTAATTGGTGCCGCATTATTGGGGACTAACGGAGAAGAACGATAATGAGTGGCGGGGCGGTAGCAGGGATCCGGCCACTCAACTACAGGTCAATCAATTTTATCACCGAGTGAACATCATCGTGCCCCACGATGGGAGGGACAGAAAAAAAAAATATCCATGTCGGTCCAAAAGCCTGACCGCCTTTCTGTGTTTACCGTTTTCCTTTCTTCTGCTGCGATGTCGTCGTTCATGGGTCTTGCCTGCATAGCGCCTCCCAATTCTTCAACTTCTCATTGCATCGTGAACTGACGCCGTAATCCATCATGGGCTCAGTTTTCTCGTCTCCGAATAACGGTCAAGGCCACACCGACGGTGACCGAGCCGACCTTGAGCAGAAGATCGCCGACCAAAAAGAAACCATCACTGCCCTTGAGGAGGACCTCTCCAAGAAGGAGAAGCAGTACACAATCCTCTCCGAGGAGGCAGAGGACCTCCGCCAGAAGGTTCAGGAGCTCAGCAATGACTTGACAACTTCGCAGAAGGATAGCCAGGCTAAGATCAGCAGCCTCCAGTCTGAGCTTGCTGCCAGCAACGACAAGCTTGCCCAGCAGTCCCAGGCCGGCAACCAGGCCACCGCCGCCAACGCCCAGGAGCTCGATGACGCCAAGAAGCAATTGGCTCTCCTCCAGGAGCAGCTCGACAACGTCCAGAAGGAGAAGAAGACGCTGGAGGAAGAGCTCGCCGCTTTGAAGCAGGAGCTCGCCGAGGCCAAGCAGGAGCGCGAGGCTCTCGAGACTTCTCTCCGCGAGGAGCTCACCAAGCTGCGCACCCAGTTGACCGACGCCGAGCAGGCCCAGACCACTCTTCAGCAGGCCCTTGACAAGCTCAAGGCCGATGCTGATGCGACGAACAAGACGCTCACCGAAAAGACCGAGGCTCTGTCCACTCTGGAAGGCAAGCTGACGACGCTCGAGGGCGAACACAACAAGCTGAAGACGGACACTACCGCCGAGATTTCTGCTGCCAGCGACAAGTACAATGCTCTGCAGCAAGCTTTGGACAAGCTCAAGTCGGACACCGACTCTGAGGTCGCCGCTGCCAAGAAGGATCTTGCGGACGCCCAGGCCAAGTTCACTGCTCTCCAGGAGGCTCACGACAGCTTGAAGAACGCCTCCGACGGCGATGTTGCTGCGGCTCAGAAGGAGCTCATCGACACCCAAGAGAAGCTTACTTCCCTTCAGCAGGCTCTCGACAAGGTGAACGCCGACTCTGCCTCTCAATTGAAGGCTGCCGAGCAGGAGCTTGCCGACGTCCAGGCCACGCTTGCCGAGCTTCAGGGCTCCCACAACAAGCTCAAGACTGATTCCGATGCGGACCTCTCCGCCGCGAAGAAGGACCTTGTTGAGGCCCAGGAGAAGCTGGCTGCCCTCCAGCAGACTGTTGACCAGCTCAAGGCCGACTCTGAGGCTGATGTGTCCTCGACCAAGAAGGAACTTGCCGACACGCAGGAGAAGCTTGCTGCGCTCCAGCAGACCCACGACAAGATCAAGTCCGAGTCCGAAGCCGAACTTGCCGCCGCCAAGAAGAGCCTCGCCGAATCCGAGGAGAAGCAGAAGGAATTGCAGCAGGCCCACGAATCCGAGCTCGAGTCCGTCAAGAAGAGCCTTTCAGAGGCCGAGGAGAAGCAGAAGACGCAGCAACAGGCTCACGAGTCTGAGCTCGAGACTGTGAAGAAGAGCCTGGCAGAGGCTGAAGAGAAATATACCCAGCTCCAGCAAGCCCAGGAGAGCTCCAACACCGAGGTTGAGGCTGCCAAGAAGAACCTCGCCGAGGCCGAGGAGAAGTACGCTAAGCTCCAGCAGGAGCAGGAGAAGTCCGCCGCCGAGATCGAGGCCGCTAAGAAGGCCGCGTCCGAGTGGGAGGAGAAGCACAACAAGCTTCAGCAAGACCAGGAGAAGTCTGCTGCCGAAGTCGAGGCTGCCAAGAAGACTGCCTCGGAGTGGGAGGAGAAGTACAACACCCTGCAGCAGGCCCAGGAGAAGTCTACTGCCGAGCTCGAGTCCGTCAAGAAGACCCTTGCCGAGTCCGAAGAGAAGTCTGCCAGCTTGAAGCAAGCCCAGGAGAGCTCAACTGCCGACCTCGAGGCCGCCAAGAAGACTGCCTCGGAGTGGGAGGAGAAGTACAACACCCTGCAGCAGGCCCAGGAGAAGGCTCAGTCTGAGTCGAGCGCCGAGGTTGAGGCGGCTAAGAAGAGCGTCGCCGAGTGGGAGGAGAAGTACAACACCCTCCAGAAGACCCACGAGACGTCCGCCGCCGAACTGGAGGCTGCGAAGAAGAGCAGCGCCGAATGGGAGGAGAAGTACAACGCTACTCTGCAGGAGCAGGAGAAGGCCAAGGCCGAGTCCGCTGCCGAGCTCGAGGCCGCCAAGAAGAGCGTCGCTGAGTTGGAGGAGAAGAACAAGGCTCTCCAGGAGGCAAACGACAAGGCCCAGTCCGATTCCAGCGCTGAGCTTGCTGCCGCCAAGCAAAGCCTGTCTGACGTTGAGGAGCAGCACTCCGCTACCAAGAAGACTCTTTCTGAGCTTGAGGAGAAGCACACCACTCTGCAGCAGACCCACGACAAGGCTCAGTCCGATGCCACTGAGGAGTCCTCTCGCTTGAGCAAGGAGTTGGCCGAGCTCCAGTCGAAGCACGCCGACCTTGAGAAGTCTGCCGAGGCCGCCAAGAACGACATCTCGGCCGAATTGGAGACTGCCAAGAAGGACGCAGCAAGCTGGCAAGAAAAGGCCAAGGAGGCTGAGACCAAGATTCAAGACACCGAGAAGAAGGCCCAGGACGCTGAGTCGAAGGCTCAAGAGTCCGAGAAGAAGGTCGCAGACGCCGAGTCTAAGGCTCAGGAGCTTGAGAAGAAGGCTGCAGAGGCTGAGAAGAAGTCTCAAGAGTCTGAGACCGCTCGCGATTCCCTGACCAAGGACCTTGAGGCCGCCAAGAAGGACGCTGCTGCCGCCGAGGAGCGTGCAAAGGCTTTCGAGGCTGAGCTCAAGAAGCTTCGCGAGGAGGCCGCCAAGACCGAGAAGGTCAACGGCGAGAAGACCAACGGCGAGACTGTTGAGGAGAAGAAGCCCAAGGAGGAGGCTGTTGCTGCATAAAGGAGGGCCTGTTGAGAGATCAATGTACAAAGGCGACGGATAAGCTTGGGGTGCCAGCCGAAATCCGGTGGTCCTCGCGCGATACATGATGAGCTTGGCACGAGGTTGTAATTAATAAACATAATCCCCTTATGAAGTATCCGTAGTCATGACCTTAATGACACATGAGTATTGCAATGAATTTATGTTTAGTAGAAGCAGTTTACCTGACCTCGCATTGAATGATACATCATGACTTGAGTCGGAGGACGCGACGACATCCTGGGCCTTGATATTTGGTAACGAAGCAGTTGACAAACAGGAGACTCAAGTGCAGTCACATACCGGGCACCTTTTATGTAAAAGTATGTTTACGCCTTCACGTAAAGCGTGATTTCTGTGAGAATCTGACGACTGAAGTAAGAAGCCCCCTTGGCTTGAATGGCTATCTTACTTTCCAATGACAGGCCACGGGCAGCTGTGATGTTCAGAAGCATTTAAATCTCTCTGTTGGGCTATTTGCCCCATGCTGGTGGTTCAACTATCCAAGTTCTATGTTCATCGTCCAGATAGTCAAGTGCTCCATTTTCGAGTCCCTGCACCCACTTGTCTGCCCACCAGCGTACAGGAAGACGTTGTGTCATCATACAGAAGTATGCATAGATAACCAGTGCTTCTTGTGAGGGATTGGGTTTCTGAAGCAGCGCAATGAAGTCTCCTCTGTGATCTGACACGTTGCTAATCCAGAAGAACGCGTGCAACATATCCCTGGTCTCTGGGAACTCTGCTAGCACTCCAAATACCGCTTCTAGCTCTTGAATGGCGTGCGTATATGCGGCCATTTCAGAAGGCGTAAAACAGTCTCCGATATTTTGTATTTGCCTCAGAAGAGTGGTAAGGTGGGGGCCCTGTGATATCTTTTGTCGATAATAGTAACCCATCTCCAACTGATGGTTAACAAAGGGGTGCATGAGATTACTGCTGATGTAGAACGACTCGGACGCCAACGCTAAATGGCGACAACCTTTGAAGAATATCATCCAGTCTGGTGTGTATTGCTGCGTCAGATTTGCTCGGCCGAAAAAAGTATCATGGGGGTTGTCTATTTGCGAGATGACTACAAGTATGAGCGATTCCAGACGAGTTAAATGATGCCTGATGGTGAATGCTTACTGTAAAACAGTATGATAACGGAGTACAAGAAAAGGTTTTCACGCATTTCGGTATCCTCTACTTGATCGACTTGATAGATTGATGCCCGTGTTGCTGCAGCTGCCAAGTTATTGTGATTGAGGGCATGCTGGGTAAGCTCCTCTCTTCGTGCAGGGTTGAGATACCCCAGATGCATGGCGGAGAGAGCGAGAATGCTCCGCATGACAAATTCGCAACGGAAACCGACTCTAACGGCATTCCTTAGCCAAAATGTCCGGAGGAGCGGGTCGATAGTTAATGAATCATAAGTATTGAGTGTCCAATGATGAATAAGCTCAAGGTCAAGCATGTTGAGATTGACCGGCAAGGGAGAAGAAGGAGTAGGAATATTCAAGGACTTTTGTTCAACCAAAGAACGTCTCGAATTCTTCGCAATGATATCGCATGTGATGCTCTGTTTGGCGCATTGGCTGCATTCTGGTTTCTTTTCATCACACTGCCCGATATTTCAGTTAGAAGACCCAACTGCTAATCCATAGATCGGCCCAGGTGCCCAGTTATTGGCCCCTCCTTACCTTTACTTTTCTTCTTTTACAGCTAGTACATCCTGTCCGAACCTTCTTGTGTGAACGTTTGGGGCAGTGCCTGAGGGTGGGAAGCTGCTCCATGCCGCGTGTGTCTGGTTGGCCCTGTTCCTCGTGGATGGAGTCAATCACGAACTGCGGCTTCCCTACTATTGTCTAGCATAGATAGGGATTTGAATGAACGGGTCGTCAAGGTGGGATTTAAGGGTACGCCGGAACGATGAGCGAATAAGAAGAAAATCTAGTTAAGGCGCATGTTTCTCACGAAAGATTCATTCAAGTCGTGCTTCGAAGTTGGCACTGACTACGGCAGTCCGCAGGGACCACTGGGTCAAAATTCAATAAATTAGTAGGTATACGGTATGAGGGGTAGAACTTGCCTAATATGGCTAATGTCTCCACTAAGGTGTGTTATCGATAAGATATGAGTGGCTAGAAATTTTAGGTAAGTATGGAGCCCGTGCCTGTATACCCATAAAAAGTCAACCCTAGAACCCTGCTAAAGTCTGACTCCCGGCTTATACCCGTAGTAATCCCCTACTTATAATTATAGTGTTCTATAATACTTACCTCGCTATAGCTATAGCGCCTCCCCCCTTAACCCTAATACCTAACTGCCCTGACTGCCCGAACTGCCCTGACTGCCCTAACTGCCCTAACTGCCCTAACTGCCCTGACTGCCCTAACTGCCCTGACTGCCCTAACTGCCCTAACTGCCCTAACTGCCCTAACTGCCCTAACTGCCCTAACTGCCCTAACTTCCCTAACTGCCCTAACTGCCCTGACTGCCCTGACTGCCCTGACTGCCCCAACTGCCCTAACTGCCCTAACTTGCCCTAACTGCCCTAACTGCCCTAACTTCCCTAACTGCCCTGACTGCCCTAACTGCCCTAACTGCCCTAACTCTGCCCTAACTGCCCCAACTGCCCTAACTGCCCTAACTTCCCTAACTGCCCTGACTGCCCTAACTTCCCTGACTGCCCTAACTGCCCTAACTTCCCTGACTGCCCCAACTGCCCTAATTGCCCTAACTGCCCCAGCTGCCCTAACTGCCCTCTTCCCTAACTGCCCTAACTGCCCCAACTGCCCTAACTGCCCTAACTGCCCTGAACTGCCCTAACTGCCCCAACTGCCCTAATTGCCCTAACTGCCCTAACTGCCCTGACTGCCCTGACTGCCCTGACTGCCCTAACTGCCCCAACTGCCCTAATTGCCTTAACTACCTCAACTACCCCATATATAATTACACTGCCCGCATTTACCCTTTTCGCTCTTGACTCGCGCAAGTGCCTGTAATTCTCAGCCAATCAGAGCCTTTTAAAAATCCTCCCCTTAGGTGTAGACCTATTGACCCGATGCGGAAATTATTGAATTTTGACCCAGTGCGCCCTGCGGACTGCTGTAGACAACCCACTTGCACAGCCTTATCGCCCCAGAATATGCTCCGCTCTTGTCCCTCACTAACGATTTCTTCCAGAAATTACTGGTAACAATGACGTTATTGTTGAGAAGACGCAGATAGGGGCCCACGGATAGCTCGATCAACATCGTAGCACATTCTTGTAGCTGCCAAACACTCAGGTTGACATTATACGTGCCAGTCCACGGGATAATAACATATGTGAGGAATGATAGTTATCTGTTTTATTCGTTTATAATAATGATATGAAAGCCAACCTTCTACAAAGGCGAAAGCTTTCATAGGTTTTGTTTAATAACACTTATTGCTTTGATAGAGCGCATCCTCACAAGCAATACATGTTTTTGACACCATCCGCATGCCGACTTAGCAGCCAGTTCGAGAGGGCGTTGTAAACGGGTTATCCGCTCCTAAAACCGCTGTATCGTCATTATCAGTGGAAAAAACGCGTCGAATGCGCCTTATCTGGGCTGCAATTTCTTTGTGGCCGATGGGAAAGTACGGCAGCGACTTCTCATACAAGCAAAGGGCGCGAGCGAAATGGCCCTCTTCAAACTCTCTCGCAGCAACTTTTGTCGTCCAAAACTGGTCCAACTGGCTATAGTCCCTCCTGACAACTGCGTTAGGCTCGAAGCGCATAGCAGGGTTGGTGCAGATCTTGTAGTCATTGAGATCGTCGGCGCGTTCCTCCGCAATGGTTTCTTCCAGGTCTGGATCTTCATAACCAAACCAGTTGTCTCGAACTAAACTGTCGCTGAGGATCTCTCTGCCGTTCTTGTCCAAATAGGCAGCATGAGCGCTCAGGACAATGTCTCCTGTGCTGTCCTCGTCGAGTTGAATTCGAACCGAGATGGTTGGTTCGCCACGAGGGACTGGGGGAATGCCGGCCAACTTAAGGGTGCCCATCGGCCGATTCCGTTCGGAGGAAACGAAGCCGCCGAGTAAGACCGGTATAATGACATCAGACTGGTTATCAAGGGTCGTGGTAAAATTGTATGTCATTTCCAGCGGGACAGCGGAGTATCGCCTGATCATCTGAGTTGTCATGCCCCCAAGGACACCTACACCGAGGGCGCGGTCCAGAATGGCAGGAAGATACGACGCCTCTTCGCAGGTCTCACTGGACATCAGAAGAGCCTGGTACGCGGTACCAACGGCGACGGCATCATCCGTATAATCGAGAATATAATACGCGATATCTCTGGTGTCATGAGGGTTAAGAAACGTGTCTAAGCCCTCCAGAACCTGCGAATGTCCAGCATCTTGTCCCGTAAGAATTACGGTTGAGATGTCTTCTATGGTGAGATTAGCGTCGGCAAGAATCTTCTCAACGTGTGAGATTGTTTCCTCGAAAAGGGGTTTAATCGCGGGTTCATTGTATTCGAGGGGGTTCTGTTGATGAATGGAGCTTGCCCCGTCCAAAATGCTTCGCGATGATTGTATTGTATTGATAACGCCGTAGTTGACATCGAGCACGGTCGCCTCAAATGCATAACGGCCTAAGTCGTATACCAAAACCTTCTCATCGTTCAAAGGCTCAATGTCCAGCCGGTGACCTAGGGCCGCAGCGCTGGGCGCATTGATGACTTGGACGATGTCGAGGCCAATTGCCTCGCCAGCGGTTTTTATGGCCTTCTGAACCTCGTCACTGTACCAAGCTTGTGGCACCGTGACAACAGCAAATGATGAACTGTCTCCAAACCAACCTTCAGCGACGCCGCGCATCTGTCGGAAGATAACGGAGAGCGAACGGTGGAAATTTTCGCCTGCAACAGACGTAGTATTTGGCTCTGGAATTGAAGTTTCGAATGTTTGAGCGATGTAATACTGCGGCTCTTCAGGGTGGCAAACCTTGTGACTTGTAACTTATCAGCTACAAGTAGAGATGAATCAGAATAAGAAATACTTACCTTGTGTTAAACAATCCACTTTGTAGACTGGACTCTTGGCCTGAGAGAAATAGCTCTGGTTCATCTAAGGGATTTGGACGAATCGGGACGGTAACTGTCGCGCTGTTAAACATTGCATGCGAAGGTAAGTCAACATAGGACTTGGTCTACGAACTTTGGTTCTTG